CGACGCACCTGTCTTAAATAGGGCCAATAATCTTCCGCCGAGGGAGTGGTCAGCGGGAGGCGTGGTTTTGCCAAAATATTTGTCAAATTACATCTACAACTCAAAAACCGTTTGAGCAAATGAGTTGATTTTTTCTTTGATGGCTTGTTCTTTCAGTTCTTTATGTCTTTTATCCACATACCTTCAAAAAATCGTTTTCCTTCAAAAGAAAAATAATTTTTTATGCGAAAAATAAATTATATGTGGAAAATCAGCGATAAAGGACGTTCCTTTATTGATTCATAATGCAATCACTTAATTTCATGTCTTTACGATTATTTGTTTCGAAGAAGCTGGGACTGTAAAAAATAGGCAAAAAAAAGTTGTCATTTTGAAAAAAAAAACATGAGATTATCATAAATCAGTCATTTTTATACACACCCTGAAATAATCAGACAATAAGTGCTCATAATACTGCTCCAAACGCACAGTTGAAAAAAGGGACGTGCATGTTAGGAGAAGACATCCTTTAATTTCTTTGGGTAGAAGGCAAAGTATTGCAAAAGTACACTCTTATAACTTAAACTATCAAGCTTTCGAAGATCTATGTCTTCATCGTCTGGAGTAAGTCGGCTAGATTGTTGCTGAAATTGTTTTTAAAACAACAGTGAAGGGAACACATAGTGGACGAATAAAAAACTGGACTGATGAGGTTCGATTAGGACAGAATTATTTTATTATTAAATGGCAAATCATTTTGAAAGGTTTTTTTAACTAAGCGTTGATTGTTTTTGGAAGAAATTTGGAGATTTTAAAACTATCAACTATTCAAAATTCCCTCGAGATTTCATCTTTATATATATGTATACCTTTCATAATTTATCTGGCATATCGTATGTTTTAATATTTATAATCAAGGGCGGGGGTGTTATGTAAGAAACCCACAAAAGGTAAAAAAACGACAAAATGTCATGTTGCAGACTATGTAGGTCTTAGTGTGCAAATAGTTCATTCCACGTTTGCTCGCTATGATCTCTGTTCGCTGACGTTTAAGCAACACGCACAGCTACAAAATGAATTCACAACAAGTGTACATTAGCTTGTGCTACGTTAACATCTTGTAGAAAAACCTTCGCTGTGTCAAAAAAATATTTTGAATATGTAAAAACAACCTCAGATTGATCAATCAATGCATTCATTTTCATTGCGTTGTACACTTTAGGCAGTTTAAATTTACAAATATTTTTTTTACAATTTTTAAATCCCGATAAGATACTTCTGTTTTACTGTCACTAAACTATGGTACCCTCTCTGTAAGAGACAATCGTAGGACCTCCCTGAGCTGTGGAATAGATGTTTTTTAAGAAAACCGCAATCAAATAAAAAATCGAAGATATTTTCATTTGAAATTTATCGTATCTTTATAACGTATGAGGAACATACTTTTCACAAATTTAGTGGTTAGTGTCGTGCGAATAGGACTGATCAAGGTAAATAGTAAATTCTGTGATTTTTAGCGGTTTTATTTTAATAACTTGAAAATTCTTTCTCCGACATTGGCTTTCTAAAATTCAGTCTGTGGGTGTTTAAATATCAAATATGGAAAAAATGAAAAATGGTTTTTCATCTTATTTTTCGCAAGTAAAAAATTGAAGCCGTAGATTTTTTTACCTGGCACGACCTATATTCTCCTAGAGCAACCCCTTTCACATGTTTTCACCAAATACCACTTAACAATTTGTCCCAATGATTTTGCTATACAGGGTGTTCCACAACTTATCCGATAAATTTTAACCACATATTATACTGTTACAATATTTGCTACAATAAATTGAAATAGAGATATTTATTTTTCAATTTATTATTGAAACTCAGGTTTATAACTTAATTTCTGTAGGACTTTTATTACATTGTTTTTTTGAATAATCAACTTCTTTCGTAACAGTGCATATGTGATTAAAATTTGTCGGATTAGTTGTGAAGCACCCTGTATTTGTTGACTATTGATACACATGTGATCGAAAGGCGATGTTTCGGTCCGTCTAAAAGTCACTTACTCGGGAATTGGACGATCTTTAAAATCTATCAGTACGTGCTTGCCATAACATGGACCTCTTATATTATACATTTACAAGAGATATTAGGATACCCTACATTTAGTTCAGTGGTTGATAAGTAGTATCAGACAGCAAAGAAAAACTGCTTCGCTTCAGCGTATGAAAGGAGGAATGGAAATTCACTTTGCCCTTATGAATAGACTTTAGCAACGGCGGTATTAAAAAGGACGCCGCGCAGGCATTGAGTTTACATAAAACATTTCAGTCGTTTAGAAAAAGGCTTTGGGCAATCGATTTTGGCTTTCATATATGGGAAACGCGATGAGAGATGAAAAGGAAAACGGCTTATTGGGGTGATGGACGGAAAGAGGCCGGAAAATATTTTTGGAAGGTAATTAGGTAAACACGGAAAGGTTCGCGGCTGCTTTTCTTTTGTCCTCTGAAGGGCCGGATTTCAGTTATTGACCTTATCTGTCTGTTTATATAGTTAGGTTGATGGTCCATAGATGTATTTCCTGTTGATACAGGCAAAGATGAATAATGTCAAGTAAGTTGAAAGCTTCTTGAAGAATAATTATTATTGCTGTTTAATATAACTTCCTACGATTCTGTATTGCCTTATGTGATGAGTAAATGGAATCGTGGATAATTATTGATTGTTTGGTTATTGAAGACTTGTCGCCAGTACAGCCTTTTTGTGTTGTGGCAGATACGAAGGCAAAACCCAAATGCTGAAGTTGCTCGGCCTCTCTCTCTTTATCTCTGTCTCTGTCTCCGTCTCCGTCTCTCTCTCTCTATCTCTCTCTCTCTCTCTCTCTCTCTCTGTTGCTGTCACCATGACTGTAAACAACTCCAATTTTGATAGTTCAGACCAGTTGCAAGCAGAAACATTAGATAATATTAATAAAGCACGAAGTAATAAGCCTACAAAGCATGGAAAAACGTAAGCGAAATGGGAAACCTTGGGAATCAGGTTTTTCCGCTGTACGTTATTTATTTGAAGTAGCTTTTCACGTCGACTTTGAAAAAGTTTTGGAGGCCAGTCTTTATCATTTTCAATGTAGTCTGAGCACGAGCACATGATTATAAAAAATTCAATTACTTGGTCGAATAACAAGACTGTTGTGTTTTTGTTTTTGATCATAGATGGAAGTTACAGGAACAAAGTACCTATATGTAATGATTGTATTATAAGCTTGTAAAGGAGTTTTGAGGAACTGCCAATATATATGATGCCTATAATGCTACCTCCTCACAATAATGCCAAACATGATTAAAAATTTGGAAAAACTGAACTTTTATATTGGAATACGAATAACCATGTCGTTTAAAAAACAAATTTTGATTATAATATAGTTAGGAGCAACCAGAGTATATCTGTCATTGAAACAAACAGCTTTTTCCACCGCAGTTCAATTGACTTGACATTCAAGGCATGATCGTTGTATTGTTGAAAATACTTACAAACTTTACAGGTAATTAAACAAATGAAAAACCGTATCAGCCTAAAGGACATGAACAGGTTGTGTGTTGTGTTTCAATGCACAGACACTGGACGCCACGTTCTGTGCTGAGTAGATTTCCGAGTGCCATGCCCTACTTGGCGACAGAATTGGCTTCATACAACTATGTGTAACCCTTACTACCTCTAGTCTTCGTGGTGACATTTTTTCGGAAAAGTCCACATATAGTGTCATTAAATATCGATATTATTTTACTTAAGTTGCGCAATATGTGTCTTTCTTATGTGGGCTTTACACAAAGTAATGATACTAGATGGTGAGAGGAAGCTCTTGGATCCAAGCAGATGACCTAGTTTTGTCCTAGAATCTTCTACGATTGACAAGAGTGAATGATTTCCAATGACACTTAACTACCCAGCACAAAGGCATGCGTGTTTGAGTTTCTCTTATTAGTCAACTAGCTGACCCGACGGACGTCCTATCTATGAACTGGAATGAATAATGAACAATAAAAGGGTAAATATAGGTAATTGGACAGCAAAGTTTTGTACCGCCATGTGGCTAGCAAAATACGTTGGCAGCACTGTCATTCCCCCATCAACTTACTTGAAAAGTAGGTATACAATTATGTGGAATGAATTTTGTTGCGCCAAATGACGTTATTTGAAAGCAATTATTGTATTACTGGATATGAGTCAAAACATGTATAGAATCTGGCCCATTTCCGGAAACCAATGAATGTAGTGGCTCTGGTGATGGTACCGATGGAGTCAATTTGACTTTCCACTGGCGCAACAGAATCCAGCGGCTTTATATTTTTGAACTTGAAAGCCTTGCAATTTGGACTCACAACGTTAGTTGATCCAATAGCAATGATTTATTGTGAAGTGTAACCGATTGCCGTGTCATAATTGAATGCAGCTTGATTGGGATTAAATGCGATACTTCTACATTGTTGAATTGCAGTCCTTCGATCCCGTTCAACTTCATTTCTCGTTTCTCGTTGGTTATCAGTTTGACTTCCTAGTATATATGTATCTTTGACTTGCAGCATTGCGAGTTCTGCGAGCTAGGTTGGTACGTCTAATTGGTGGCATTTTGAATGGACTGTGCACTACTAATTAAATAAACAAAATTTCATCGATGAACACCGTTAAACGATAATATAAATTTGCGGCGTGCGAGCTGTCAAGTTCAAAATGAGAGTAGTGAAAGCAAATTAAGCAACGGAAACGTATTTTCATCCGCCATTTTTATTCGTAGAGTTAAGTCACAGCGGTGGAGAAAACAGAATACTGGGAACTGCCTTTCTTGAAAACAAGAGATTTAAATTCGCAGTACGAGGGATGTCTTTTAAGTTTTGCATATAGAAACATAGTAGGCCGCGCGGATCGAACGTCAGTACTGAATCTCAACCTCACTCTTTAGTAAACTTAAATTCAAAGTTTCACAACAATACGTGCAGTGTTGTCACTACAGTGAATTTTTAAGTTTCACCAAGTCATTAGGAAAATGGAACTCAACCGAGAACATTTTCGCGCCATAATTTATTACAACTTTCAGAGACAATTATCGCAACAAGAATGCCTTGCTGAGTTACTGACTGTTTTCGGCAACGATGCGCCATATCAGTCGACAATTTCCCGTTGTATGGAGAATTCAAACGTGGATGGGTGAGTTTTAGCGACGATCCCAGGGTGGGTGCATCAAAAATGGCAGTCACCCAGGAAAACGTCGATGCTGTGCGCAAACTCATCATTGAAGATAGACATGTGACATATCGCGAGATTGAGGCGTCCTTGAAGATCTCATAGACCTCAATTCAAAAAATTTTACATGAAGGACTTGGAGTAAGAAAATTAGTTTCTCGTTGGATACCCCACCTGTTGACTGAAGAGCAGAAACTAGCCAGGGTTAATTGGTATCAAAAAACGCTTGACCGATTCAATTCCGGAAACTCAAAAAATGTGTACAGCATTGTTTGTGGTGATGAATCGTGGATTTACTGTGATGAACCAGAAAATAAATGACAGTCGGCTGTATGGGTGTTCCAAGGTGAAGAAAAGCCAACAAAAGTCATCCGTTCTCGAAGTGTTTCGAAAAAGATGGTGGCGACATTTGTGTCAAAAGCGGGTCATATTGTAACAATTCCTCTTAATGAGCAAATACCTGTTACTGAGGATTGGTATACCACCATTTGTTTGCCAAAAGTCATGACCGAGCTTCGAAAAATTAACCTCGAAAGAAGAATCATCCTACACCAAGACAATGCAAGCTCGCGCACAGCCCAAAAAACAAGGCAGTATTTAACGGAAGAAAACGTGGAATTATTGGGCCATCCTCCATATAGTCCCGATCTAAGTCCTAAAGATTTCTTTACTTTCCCAAAAATTAAAAACAGACTGCGTGGTCAAAGGTTCCAGTCACCAAAAGAAGCATTTGACGCATTCAAATATGCCGTTTCGGATCTGCCAGCAAACGAGTGGAATAAGTGCTTCGAAAATTGGATCCAGCGCATGCAAATGTGTTAATCTTCGTGGAGAATGCTTCAGAAAACAATAAAGTCATTTAAAACTACCTACCGTGTTGTTTTATTTACATATGCAAAACTTAAAAGACATCCCTCGTAATAGATTTTAAAGCAATTAATGGGCGAATGTGTCTTTTAAGACTTCGAGGAAAATTTCAGAAAATAAGCCTACTGAATTTCCATGCCCCATCAGAAGGGAAGAATATATTAATGAAGGAGGAATTTTATAATGTGCTGAGTGAAGAATTTGAAAAAATCCCGAAGTATGACGGCAAAATTGTATTGGGAGATGCAAATGCAAAAATAGACAAAGAAGCAATATATGGAAGAAAAACTGGCAAATATAGTAAACATAGTCTTTCATCAGAGAATGCACAGTTTGTCATAGATTTTGCAAAGGAAAAAATATGGTTATCAAAAGCACAGACTTCGAAAGAAAAGAAATATATCGATGGTGTCAATGCAATACCTCGTACCTACGAAATGTCAAAATTTCAGGAGACAATGTTTTGCATAATAATTAATACTTGTAAGTGTTTTATTTAGTTTAACATTGTTCTAGGCCTCTAAACAAGCGAAAAAATTATTATTTTAAGTTGTCTTCTAAGAAATAGGTATTTAGTAATTATTATGTGAGATACGAAGTATTGCACAAAATTTTTCGTCAACTTTGGAACTTACGAGGTATTGTACTTATAATGAAAACCCATTTAGATTTTAGAACAATTTTATATCAAATCCATTAAAATACAAAATAGAAGATACACAAAAACTATATCCAAGTTACAGTAAAAAAATGAACAGGAAACAAGGAAATATAAAAATAATAAAAACCTATTTGAAAGGTAAACTGTCATAAAATGGCCAATAATTTTGACTAATTTTGGTTTTCATTTCTTGTAAATGATCGTATTTCTTCTTTGCAATTGGCAGTTTGTGCTCAAACAATTGGAGAAATTGGTTTATGTCGTTTGGGGTCCTTCTTGGATGATGAGGTAATTCTGCAAACTCTTGGTCGAAATTAATTTTGTATGTTATCAAGCCTTGTTCATACTGCAGTGCCCTTATCTGCGTGACTGTCGGATCATTGGATTTTTTACCAGGGCGGATTGAATAGTAGACCAAATCGGGACTATAATTTTTGAAAAAATTAAAATCTGGAGTTACGACTTCATAAGGAAATGGTTTTTGACGCGCTTCTCCAGTAAGACGATAGTAATCATTTGGTATTTCGATGTTCTTATTTTTTAGCTTTCTTTCAATAACAGCATGAACACTATCACATTCCATTTGAGAATGACCTTTAATCAAGAACTTTTGAGTTATTTGCACATTATATTGGCGTGATAGACTAAGCAGAGCATTTGCCACGGTACTGTTTCTATTCTGATATGTGCAACCATCAGAATAAATTATTATTGGTTTTATGTGGGCTGCATTTTGAAGATACGTTTTTGTTAAATAGTCTACAAGAAGTGATGCAAACGTGGACGCTTGAAGATCTGCGTCCAGCTCAGTGAACCAATAGCGTACAAAAAGTACATTGATTTGTAGCTAGATTGTATACAGTAAAATTATGGCATACAAGCTTAGTTTTAAAGAAAAGCGAACTCGCTTGTAAATAAAGACAAGTTTTAACGGCTTGCAGATCTACTGTAATAACATGACAGACTCCCTGCATTGCTTTTTCTTTATCATCATTTTTTTCTTTTTGAGCTCTCTCTTTGTCTGTTCTATGTTGGTCCCAGTCTTCTAGGCTTAGATTTTGAGATTCATACTGTACACATGTACCACACCGATCCTTGCGAGGCTTGAATATACCAATATTCTTTTTATGTACCCACTTTATTAATGTATTTCTACTGGCTGGTGCTGCGTTTTGTGTTTTTGAATAATCCACGAAAGCTTTATATAAGTCTGACTAACTAGAAAACTCATGTTCAAGGTACAACTTTGTAGTGTCTTTGCGACAATAGTGACTAGGAAGCTTTGGCAATTTTTCTAGAAATGTTGTTATAAATGAATCCTTTTGGGATTTTCTGGGTAATCTACGACTGTTAGTTTCTGCTCCACTGGAAGGTGTACCGTAATGCGATGTCTCCACCCAGCTCTTTACACTCCATTCCCCATGCCCCAGAGTTCCCAAAAACATTTTTTTACAGACGGGTATAAGCTTATCACCAACATTCCTCCTCTCCTGTCTTGAAACAAGGTTGCAGACATATACCTTCCTTTGGTCCCAACTCAGGTTCTTCCAAAAAGCTGTAAAAATTTCTTTTCGTGCTTCTTCTCTGATTTCATTACATTTTCTTTTTGAGCTGTTCTTACAGGTTTCTGAGTTACACCTTTCGCCTTGTTTCCGCTCTTCTCTTTCTATATCTTGAAACGTTCTTTTTTCATTTCATGGTCGCCTAAATCCTGTATAAACCATACCCTTCATTCTAAGTTCCTTATTTCTTTTACGTTTGGACCCAGACTGTGAACTGAAATTATTGTTCGGTTCTTCGTTGATGATAATTGGTGGATTTGTTCCTACGTCCTCCACTGTCGAAGAGCTTCTGTTGGAATGACACATTGAAATTTGATTTATATGAATAGGTGCATCTTCAGCGGAAATGATATCCCGCTGTACCCTTGTCTCTTCTAAAACACCATTTTGATCGGCAAACACACTTGAGGAACCTATTACTGAGTGATTATTTATAGCATCTAGGCTGATGTCATGGATTACATTCTGTACAGAAAATGGCACTATTTCATGTTGGTTGGTGTCTAAATTTTCAGGCATACTTGTAGTAGGAGAACCATCGTTCAGATTTTCGGCTACTGCTGGTTCGAAAGCGTGTGATATAGTGCTATTCTGTAGTTCAATAAAATCTGATTTAGGACTACGTGGTTCCTCTAAATTTTCTCTGCTATCCACATTATTGTCTGTATTATCGAAAACTATCTCTGCTTGGTCTATTAATTTTTCAAAATCCATAGTTTGCTGCTCTTGAGTTGGAGAAATATCTGAAACAATATTTTTCCAATCAAAAAACCTATAGGAGATAATTTTTCCTCAAGTACTACTATGATTTAGGAAAAAAGTTGTTCATTTATTTCACACATGACCAACCAAAAAAGTATCCAGTAATTTATACAATTATTATATTTAAACCTTTAATAGGATGGGCGAGGAGGGTGAATTTTTAGCCGTCACAATGTTTTCTGGCATTATAAAAATGTAAAGAGAAACGAAGGGAAAGCATAACTGATAAGAAAATAAGACATCAAATCAATGGGAACTTTCATCTAATCCTCTGGTATACATTCTGTTATTAATATATAAATAATTATAACTTACTTGTGCTTGGACGCAGCTTGGCACATTTCCAATATTTTTTTGCCACGCATCTTGCAAATTTTTGATCTATAACAAAAATAACAAATTGCAAGGAGAAGCACTTATCTGACATGCAAATTCATAGTTTGACAGGTCAATAGCACGTATCTACGAAACAACTACTCGTATCGCTAGGCAATAGCTTGTATCTTCTAAATAAGAAATGTTTTGTCAATTTCAATGCCACGTATCTGCCACAACTACATAATACAAGCTGGAACAACATTAATTGCTACTTTTCTTGCCAAATATGTCATACAACTACATGTTTAATATATATACTAATACCTACAACAATTAAATCAAATATAAAACGATTTCTTACCTTATTTTTCTGCGTTAAAGCATCAACACTCACATAAACACTCTACAGAAGACGCCATATTTTTAGAGATACGAGGTATTGCACGAATTTGAGCGGGAATTATGGGTAAATGCAAGCCAAAAAGGAACAGTTTGATTGTTCAGCACTATCATGCTCTCTAGCTCTTTGTCTATAGCGGGTAATTCAAATTCATCAAAAAATGGAGATACGAGGTATTGCCTTGACACCATCGATATGAGGGAACTTGGAAATCTCCAGATGGGAAAACTATAAACCAAATAGACCATGTAGAGGATTGGATGAGGACAGTGACCATTTCATGGTGGGAGTGAAATTTAGACCGATATTACCTGTGCAATGGAACAGAAAAAATGAAAAGAGAACCGTTATAAACACCAAACGATTAGAAAAACAGGACGACAGAGATAGATATAAGAGAATATTAAACGAAGAGCTAGAGACAGCAAAAATTGAGGATTTGTACAGTGTGGATGATAAACCAGACCTAGATAAAAAGATTCTAGGGAGCTTAAAATCAAATAAAAGTGCTGGAATAGATGAAGTCGCGAAACGCTGAAATTCGAAGGGGACAAAGTTATTGAGGTAATGCACAGTTTAATAGGGGAAATTTGGGAAGCAGAAAGAATGCCGCGTGACTGGAGTGAGGCGTAATAAGCCCAATGTTTAAAAAAGGGGATAAAAAATATGTGAAAACTATTGAACGTTAGATATAAAGTGCTAGCGACATGTATTAAGAGTAGACTTTCTTCGAAAATGTTAGGAAGAATAGGAGAATACAATGTGGGTTTAGAGCAGGAAGGGGAGTGGTGGACAACATTTTTACGCTTAGAGAGATCCAGGTTGAGAGTTATCAACATCAGAAAGATACATATGTAGTGTTTATAGACTTCAACAGAGCATATGATTCAATCCGAAGATCGGCAGTATACCAAGCGCTAAGAGGACTAGGAAATAGTGAAAAGATTATATGGCTAATAAAGTTGACACTTCAGGAAACGGAAAATAGAATAAAAGTTGAAGGAAAATATTCTGAAAAGTTCAAGGTAAAAGTGGGGTTGCGGCAAAGGGATCCGTTGTCAACAGTTTTATTCAACTATGTATTGGAAGCTATAATCAGAGCAGCAAATTTAAAGAGGAATGGTTTTTTATACAGTAGAAAGCACCAACGTTTAGCGTTCGCAGATGACATTGCAATCGTTGCTAGAAGCAAAAGAGAATTGATATAAGTACTAAAAACACTTGAAGAGAAAGCAAAGGAAAAGCGTCTAATAATAAATCAGGAAAAAACTAAATATATGAGGGTGTCTTATAAATGTTCCCACACCTGAGCTATGCAGTCGGTTATCCTCCAAAACAAAAAAATTAATGATGATGGATCCCTCGAGCACTAAGAACTCCGGACGTAAACTCACTCCACTCTCGGAATGTCCGGGATTAACAGCAACATTGATGCTGTTCATCACTACCTGCAATCCAATCGTCCCGCCGTGCTTTTCTTGGCGGAGGCAAAAATCTCAGAGTCTGCACCGATTAACCATCTTAACTTCCCAAACTACGAGGTGCACTCCAATCTGAGAAAGAACGGGGGAGTTGTGGCTTTTGTCCGCAGCAGTCTTTCCTGCTCCAGAGATATTTGTTTGGAATCAGACCGGAAGGACATTCTGTGGCTTCGCCTCAACTCCAAAACATCACCCAAGTTTATTGCTGCCTTTATGGCTCTCCCTCGGACCATAACTGGGATGACTTACTCGAATACCTCGCCGTCCAGATCGACTTCCTGAACATCAATCATCCCGCTTCAGAGGTAGTTCTTCTCGGTGATTTCAATGCCCATAATGAGTTTTGGTTGGGCTCAAAAAAGACCGACGCAGCAGGTCGTGCAATCGAAGCGTTCGCTCTTATCCAATGGCTGACTCAGCTGGTGACGAGTCCTACTTTTTTCCCCCGCGTCTCGTCACACGCCAGTAGCCTGCTGGATCTCTTTCTGACCACGCATCCTGTCCCTTACAGCACTGCTGTCCTGTCCCCCTGGGTAACTCAGACCACGGTGTTGTGGAGGTTAGGTTTCGATCAGAAGCCGCTGTGGCAGCAGAAACTCATACAGGCCGCAAAACTTGGCATTACGGACATGCCGACTGGGAGGGGCTCAGAGATTTCTTCTCTAGCTTTCCTTGGAGAGATGTCTGTTTCACTGACGCGGATGCGTCGACTGTCTGTTCTTCGATAACCGAAATTATCCACGTCGGAATGGAGGAATACATCCGTCACACAGTGAAAGTTCCTAAACCAGGGTCCAACGGCTGGTTTAACAAATCGTGTGACACTGCTCGCCAGCAGAAGATCAAGGCACACAGTACCTTCTTACAGAACCCCACTGTAGAGAACAGACAAGCCGACGTTGAGTCCAGAAACAAATATGAAGCAGCGGTTCGCAATGCCAAAAACCAGCACTATATAAAAGTTAGGCACAGGGTAATGTCACAGCGCAATGGCAGTCGGTCTTTCTGGACGCTGGCCAGGCAGATTAAAAAGAACTTCTCACACAGTAGCCTTCCACCACTTACGTATCAGGACGGAACTATTGTATTAAACTCAAACGCCAAGGCGGAAGTGCTAGCCAAGATCGTTGCTGCCAACTCCACCATGGACGTCCCCCCCAACGCCCAAGTGCCGTCAATTCAAAGGGTTCCCTACACTATGCAGGAGGTAACATTCAGGCATAAGACCGTAAGACGAGTGCTCTTGTCGACATCAACAAAGCTTGTGGTCCGGACTTGATTCCTGCCATTGTACTGAATAGGTGTGCACCGGAGCTTGCTCGAGTTCTTTCGCGTCTCTTCCAGATATCTTATGAATCCGGCACCTTCCCAGAAAACTGGAAACTTGCTCATGTCCCACCCTATCCCAAAAAAGGGATCTAAGACCGACCCGTACAACTACAGGCCTATAGCTCTGCTTTCTGTTTTAAGTAAGGTGATGGAGAGGTGCATAAATCGCGAGCTTCTGGACTACCTCGAACGTTACGGCTTGATTAGCGACAGGCAGTATGGTTTCCGGCAACGATCCACAGGGGACCTCTTAGCTTACGTCACTCAATTGTGAAGTAAGCTCGTACAGTCTTATGGTGAGGCTCATGCTGTTGCTCTTGACATCACGAAAGCGTTCGATCAGCTGTGGCACGCTGCCCTCTTAAGCAAACTTCCATCCTATGGACTCCCAGAAAAGCTTTGCAGATCGGTGGCTGACTTTGTCTCTGGCCGCAAGATATCCGTCGTAATTGACGGGTTCTCCTCTTCGTCCTACAACGTCAACGCGGGTGTTCCCCAGGGATCGGTTTTGGCTCCGACTTCTGTTTCTCTTACATATCAACCACCTTCTTTCCTGCACGATCAACCCAATCCACAGCTTCGCTGATAACAGCACTCTACATGCAGGAATTCAAAGTGACAAGCCGATCTCTGCCACTGAGTTGGAAAAAAGTAGACTAGCGATGACTTCCTCTCTGACAAAAGACCTGGAGGCTATCACTGCTTGAGGACGCAACAATCTTGTACAGTTCAATACGTCCAAAACGCAGTACTGTACTTTGACGAACAAAAAGCGTCCCTGCGCTCACCCGTTTTCGATGAATGGTCGAGTTCTGCCAAAGAGCCATTCATTTCGGCTGGTTGGAGTCCAGATCACCGAGGACCTGATCTGGCACGAACACATCTCGTCAATAGCTGCAGCTGCTGGGAAAAAGCTAGGCTATTTGTTTAGGGCTAAGAAGTACTTTTCTCCGCAGGACCTTCTCGCTCTATACAAGGTCCAGATAAGGCCTAGCCTCGACTATTGCTCACACGTTTGGGGTGCTGCCGCCCCGACGACATTATCCATGCTCGATGCTGTCCAGAGGAGGGCGGTCCGACTGATCGATGACTAACAGACAGCCTCGAGACTCTTTCGCACCGTCGGCGATCTGGCTCTTTTCTACCGTTACACCAACAAGCTTTGAAGAGGTCGATCAATTTGTCTATTTGGGATCAACCTTCACAAGAAAACCGGGCACAAGGGAAGAAATCAAAGCAAGACTGGAGAAGGGAAATATATGTTTATATGGATTGAACCATCTCCTGAAAAGCAAGTTGATAAATAATAACCTAAAAATTAAGTTATATAAAACGGTAATAAGACCATCAGTTACATTTGCTTGTGAAACATGGATCTTGAGGAAGGCAGATATAAATACCCTAGAAGTGTTGGCGAGAAAGGTGTTAAGGAAATTTTTGGAGGGAAACAGAACAATGGGGTATGGAAAAGAAGAACAAACCAAGATCATGTATAAAGAATCAAGTGTCACAGGATATATAAGAGCACAAAGGTTGAAATTAGGTTAGGGCATGTAGAAAGGATGGCTGAAAATAGGATTCCAAAAATGATTGTAAGCAGAAGCATAGGAGGCCAGAAGAGGAGAGGGAGACCAAAAGAAAGATGGAAGAGCGAAGCAGAAGCTGATCTGAGAAGCTTAGGTGTACAAAACTGGAAATTCATGAGTCAAAATAAGAAGAAATGGAAAGAAATTACAAATAAAGCCTTGGGCCTTTTAGGCCTGTAGAGCTATATATATATGAGCAGTAGTCAATGCCGGCATTCCGATTGTTTCCCTAAAATGTCTTCTCATGTTTAATATAATAATTTTTAATATGTTCGGGTGTATTGATATTTTTAACATGTAACGGAGGTATCTGTCGTTATCAACAAGCCCAATGTCTCCGTCCTTTTGTTTTTACATTTATAACAAGTTCTATCTTCTCTACCTTCGTTTTGAAACATCTTGTGGCTGCAACCTCAGCGACGAAATCCTGATGAAGGCTCCATACAGAATGCCGAATGCTTGATTTTATGGTCAAAAGAGTCAACTTAAGCCTAAAAATTTGCCAATTTCCCAATTACCAATTAATTGTATATATATATATATATATATATATATATATATATAAGTGACAACGATAACAATTGAGCAACACTGCAGTTTCTTTTGAGGACGCCTTCACAAAGTACGGATGGAAAAAAATGACAGTCCAAAAACGAACCGCCGTGTTTTCGTAATTTTCTCTCACATATCTAACTGTCAA